AATAGCCTGCAGGTGATTGCGGGCCGTATCTCTGACGGAAGAGATTAAGAAATACATGGGCGTCCGTGAAGATAAGTGGAAATGGGTTGGGAAGGTTTTGGGACCGACAGACTGGTTCTCCCTGTTCCTCGTAAGCTGGCATCAGGGCCCATCTTCCGGGCTACCGGAGACGCACAGAACAGAAACCACCAGTACTAAAAAGATACAAATGAAAACCGGCAAGTCACATAGTCAGACAATAAAAGGATAGCGCAGATGCTGATGTTATATAGTTCTATAACCCTTGAATAAAAAAAAAAAAAAAAAAAAAAAAAAAAAAAAATATACTCTATCATTGCTTACCTGTTACCCGGCCTTTGTATATGCATACTATTTTATTTTTTTTTGTTACTTGCGATTTCATTCTTTCTTTTAATTTTCTGATCCGCCACTATTTGTTTTTTGATTAATTCTTTTGCTAATAAAAGCATTTTCTTGTTATTCCTAATGATTTCACAGTTTTCATTCTCGTATTTTGTTAAATATTACATCAGAAACATGCAAAACATTACATTGACACTTTTCTTTCACTCCAACTAAATCAAAGTTGCCTTTGATTCACCACGACATCTTTTAGTTTGCAACACTGGTGATGGTGGATTATCTGATACTTTTAATTTTTCAATGTCAAAAACCAGAGCCTACGGAAAGGTTCCAACTATTACAGAATTTCAATCATTCAAGTATCAGACAACTGGAAATTATGCTTCTTTTTTTTTTTATCAGTTACTTGATCAACTTCCAAATCACACCCAGGTTTCTTGCACTTCCATCTAAGTCTGTTGTTCACTTGCTCATACAGATCTTATTTTATCATACTCAGACAAGCAACTTACTCGATAAAACCTACCTAAACTTGACATACCGAAACTTGCAAACTTTGTCTTAATCTTTTTCATCTACTACGAGTGTTTCACGAGAGTTACGGTGTACAAGGACAAACAATAAAAATTGGAAATTTCATCAATATCATACCACTTACAGATATAAAATCCATGCGTCTTGACAAGCTATCTTAAGACAGTGATGCCTAATATCAAACTATAGCAGAATCAAGATCGACGCTTTGCAATTGGATCCCAGAACCTGCAAACTTAGTTTGATACCAAATACAGTTGACGGAAATATTAATATGTGCACCATTAAAAGAAATGTGAATAATGGAATTTATTTACCGGGTACTGTTACACTGTTTTATCGACTCAATCTGTTTAACACGAATAGGGTTCCAAATTATGAGATATTATTCTGCCATTAATTTGCGTCTTTGCTCAATATTTCATTTTATTTTGTCGAGACTAGTCCTTATTTACAAGACACTTGGGATAACATCTTATCGTTTTACAACTGCATTTCTACACTTAAACTTAAACTTTGGGATAGCATTCCAAACATATTAATTTTTTACAGATGTTAAGATGCGACTTTGAGAATGACATTGGGCGGCTGATTACAATCATGAATACACAAAAACCAGTTTTTATTTGCAAAGAAATAAGGAATACTCTGGACTATACGCGTTCAACAACGAAAATTTTTGAAAAAAAAGATGCCAATGATATGATACCACTTATGAAAGATATGATAATGGCGCTTGATGATGGGCGGATGAGCGATAAGGTATTATGACGATGCCACACTACAGTTTAGTACTTTATCGAAGTTCCTGCTTTGAATGTTATACATTTTTGAAAGCTATTTAAGATGCACCGAATTAAAACAGACATGACACTTGGTGATTATACATATGTTGTAATGGAGGTTATGGAAAGAATGGGAAGATGTGAGATGGACGTTGGGACTGATGGGTAAAGACTATAAGTTTCTATAACGACCAAAAGAGAGACAGAGACTTGTAACTAAGCTTGGAGACTGAGTACATGGTGAAACTCTGCACTAACTGAAAAGAAAATCCTGACTTTTTTTTTTTTTGCTGTTTAGTACTAGCTCAGATACCACCACACCTTTTTAATGATGTTTTAGAAAGCTGCAAGCTTAAACTGGTTTGCTGTTGGATTACGCTTTGTACTAATGAACTAAAGCTGACGAAAAATATTTGTTTGCTGTTACTAAGATGATGGTGGAAGTCTTTGGAATTGTCAACGCATAAATGATATTGGCTGAAAAAAAGGAAACGAGCATCGTTGCTGATCATTTGTGGAACTAAGGATCTCAAACAAGCAGTATGCAAAAACTTAGTATTGTTTAGGAAGAAATTGCAACACGTGTTCCTCTATTGGATACCAGCTCTGAAGAACCAACAACTATATTTAAAGTAACAATGTTGACTTTATTTTGACAGCTATTTTGTGTCTATCTGACCATTACAACAATATTTGAAATACTGAAAAAAGCATACCTTTTGGCAGTGGGCATCCTTTGCTTCTACATACTCATGCACAAGAACTGTTAATCCAATATCAAGCTCTGTGGATCATAATAACGCTAGTTTTAAATTATTACAAGACAAGGATGCTGTTGGACAGACTAAGGATGGTGTCTTAAGGCGTCATTAATGTGATGTCTAAGATTTGATAAAGTTGTTACTCTTCATGAAAGAAATCTACTGTATGTTGTTGCATTTTACAACAGCACTTAGAGGCAATTGGCGTACGTTTCGAATCTTTGATACCCTTTTTTTATTTCACCACTCTGGAGTGCAACAACAGATGGAAAGACGATTTAGAAAGTTGTTGCTGGATATGACGATATGACGATATGCTTATTTGATATTTAGAATGTTTTTAACGGTTTAATGACGGTCAGTTAGGAACGAATGCATTTGACATTACCCACACAAACATTAAAACGTAACGAAAGGATACCAAGACTTAAATGATACTTTAAACGAAAATTTTATGCCACATTTGAGATAAGGGGCACATCATTAAAAAGTATCTTTTGATTCTATTTAAATTTTTTTTATTTGAATTTCGAGCTTTTGGTGTTGCGATTGAGTGACTTGACCATGAGGTATCGTTGCTAATTGCAGGGCCCTTTTGAAAACTACTTGGAGGTCTTACATGACTTAATACTGAGATGTAAGGTGGTATCAGTTGGGGTCTTTCTTAACCAAATAGAGAACACGGCCTTATAGATAGGTTTGAAATCGTTGCTTGTATTCCTCCGCACTTTACTTGCGACAATCTGTCTTTGAAAATATATATTTGTAGTACCTAATAGTTTTATATAATCTTTATAACTTAGTTAATTATGTTAATGTGTTTATGATTGTATATTGCATCTCTGGATGCTGTTTTTGTCGTGTTTTCAGTGTACAAGATAAGGATAAATACCCAAGTTGACCCTTAAGCTTATACCATGAAACCCATCATAATACTTGTCCAATTGACTTGAAATTAACATATATAATAGCCAAAAATGACATCTATCTAATTAAATATAATTCTAAAGGATTAAATTATTGTCAAAGTGGTTTTAATGAAGTTTTATGCGGGGCGTGCGGTTTCATGTTGCATTATACAATTAACTATAATAAACAATCTTTAAACTGGCTTTTATGTTAAAAAAATAGTTTAAAATGGTTGCTAACTTGTTTTCTATTGAAATAAACAAAAAGAATCAAGTTTAGATGATGGTAGATACCTTTTTTATCACATTTTTAAAAATTGCAAGTTCTTAGAAATGTACACCAACTTTGAACAAAAATAACTTTTTTCAAAGATAAGTTAGAACAAAATGGATTATACTATTGAAACCATCCATGAAATCTGAATCGAATTATATAAGTTTCAAGCCAGAAATATGACTTTTTATTTTGCACTTTGCAAAAAGTCAATATTCCTGTGAATTTTAAAAAATCCTTGGATTCCAAAGGGGTTAGGGTTTAGATTTTTTTTTCTTTATTTATTAGTGTTTCAAAGTTGAACCATTTTCCTAATATGGTAAATTATACAACACCAGCCCATGGTAAATATTTACAACAGGAATAAAAGAACATTTACTTAGCCTGTTGTAAATTATTTATCAAAAATCCCTAAATTAATAAATTTTAAAATCCGAGTTGTGGAGCTTAGCGAAGTATATTGGGATGTTTGTAGAGGCTTGGAGATTCCAAAAAAACAATAAAAAAGGGGGGTTAGATTTTTGGCCAAAAATGCGAAATTCTCCAAGGCTATAGCCTTGGGGAATTGATCAAAAATGGCTCCGGATAGCTTCCGATGATTTTCCGGGTAAAACTTGGTACCCCGGTTAGCTTTGAAAATAGGATAGGAGGACTTTGCTAGACGGGACGAGTCCGTGGAGCTACTTTGGTCTGCTATCCGAGGCCGATTATGGGGGATAGGGTCCGGAGGTCATTTCAATAAACATTGTTTAGATCCAGATACATCAGCCATATCCAAGGTATTATGAGATTTTGGCATTGTAATTGAAAAAAAAAAATTAAGAAGGAAAGAATGGAATAGAAAAATGGAAACTTTTTGTGTGTAAAGAAAGAAAGAAAGAAAAAAAAAAGGTGGCAAGCACATTGTGGTTTTTGTGGGTTATTTGTTTTTTGAGGGTCTTGGCCGGTTGTTACTCAAATATAAAAGTACCAGGTAACTTGAAAAAAATTATCCGGAATTTATTATTTGGTAAGTTTTAACTGGAATCTAACAGCGATATTCTAACCAGTGCAAAATTGGAAAAGTTCCCGTCTATTATTTAAACTAGTTTGTGGGTTTACAGGGTTACATATTTACATATTTACATGTATATCTAAAAAGATTTTTTTTTTTTTCAGTTTAATTGACCAAGTAATTTTAGTTATAGTTTCTTCAACGAGGAAGATATCATTTACAGGATAACTAATCATTATCTACCCAGACCCCGTTATCACTAATAAATCTCACCATCTTGCGAAATGAGACCAATTGAATTAACACGTTTTTTTTTTCTTCATTAATTTTAACATTAAAATTTTCATAATCATTAATCTACTAAATTTTTGACATTAATTGCTAATCTCTAAGAGCAGCAATCTTCTCGTACCAAACATCGAGAGCGGTGCCAGACTCAAGACCAGGCTCGGTAATGCCATCAATGACAAAAGTAGGGCTGACATGAATAGAGTTTTGGCGAGCTTGCTTGATGAAGTACTTGAGATCAACAGCAAGAGCATTGCCCTTGTTGAGAGCCTTTTCAGCACCAGCAGGAAGTGGGGGGACCTCGACGAGTTTGAGGAATTCTTCGACGGAGACGTTGACACTTTCATTGGCAAGCTTGGCCAGACGCTTATAAGTTTCCGGGCGAGTTTCATTGTAAAGAGCCTCGTCGTAGTATTCAGGAGATCTCTCAAAAAGCACATCGTTGAACTCGAAAAACTTTTCAGGAGAGAGAACCGACACTGCAAGACCGGCCTCGTGGACAAGGGTAGACTGAGGATGCCATGGCTGGATTTGGTGACGGAAGATGAATTGCACCTTGCCAGGGAACTTGGCGTCCAAAGCAGGGATGATTTCAGACCGCAGACGGCGCCAGGCTTTAGCCGAGTAGGGGCAGACATAGTCGAGGTAGACCTCGATCTTATGGGCAGTGTTTGGGCCGAGAGTATGGGAAAGAGCGTATCTAGGAGAGATGGACATTATTGAATATATTAATTGAGGGATTGTAGGCAATTGAGTTGGATATTTATGATTGTTGTGATTGTAAAAAAAAAAGAAATAAATAAATAAAAATGTAGTGGAAGGGAAGGCAGCAATCTTTTATATTTATATATTCTGGGGAGTGCACGTGATATTGTATCGGGGTTCGCTGGAGATGAGGAAAACCCGGACTGTTAATTTGTTTTCATTAGTAATGGCCTTGGAGGTCTAGAAGACTTCAATGTGAGGAAGAAAAAAGACCAAATATGTAAGGCCAAGCTTTAAGGATCATTTTATATATAATTCTAGAAAAAGAAAGAAAGTTTATCATGAAAATTATAAGGAATTTTGAGGAGTTTCAAAGAGGTCATTCATTCATTTATTTTGCCACCAATTTTATATTTTTTATATTTTTAGTTCCGGGAGAAGTTTCAAATTAAGATTTTGAAAGTGAATTCTAAAATATATTTTTTAAACTTTGGTAATGAATACGTAACGTTATGTGACTTTTTGTTGCCTTTAACAGGTTATCTTTGAAAGCTTATTAAATGCATATATTAAAAATCATGTGACTCCCTAACCCTGAAAATCATTTTTTTTTTTTTTTTTTAAAAAAAATTCCAAATCTTCCATCTCACCACTTTGATCAGTTTCAACAAAACTTTCAGATCCTCCACCCCTAACCAAATCAAACATTTCTTTCTAAATATCATTCCAAAATGAAGTTGATGACTACAAATTTTGTCCAATGTGCTGTTAGATCTTGCTCTAAGACTTCAGATGCATTCCCACTTCAGTACTCCGAAGTCCAAATGGTCCAACAAGAAGTCGACTTTGAGCCAGAATTTCTGCTCGGACTGCTGCCGCGTCTTGACTGGCCTAATCTTGTCAAGGTCTGCGAAGAGGTAAGTCAAAAATAAAAAAAAAAAACGATTTTATAGAAAAAAAAAGATTAAAAAAGTAGTTGTTTACTAACTGTTGGTACATAGCTTGGAAACACCAGTCTGCCAAAAGATAAGCCTGATATCGAGGATGCTGAATCAGAGGAAAGCTTACAGTTCCTCAAGAACCTTCACAATCTTTTGATCGAGGTACGTTGTTGAATTCGATTTGATCTATTTCAAATATACTAACCGTTTAATTCTAGACACAAATCACAGAGGGCAACATGACATGCAGAAACTGTGGCCACACTTACTACATCAAGAACTCCATTCCTAACTTTCTTCTTCCTCCTCATCTCGCCAACTAATGTGCTTTTTTCATGACTTTTTTTTCTTGTTCTTTCTCTCTTCCTTTTTTTTTTTTAAGTTAATAAGATAGATATTTTGTTTGTAATAATGAGCATTACATATGAATGTATACATGACGGTTAAACCACCATATGTGTTTTTTTTTCTCTCCCTTTCAATGTTCACGATTTCTTTCCCATTTGTTGTCTCTATCATCGGTTAAAAAGGCGACCTGCTACGCCTCCAAAAGCGCGTGTAAGAAGACCGGTAGACAGGCTACCCATGAATCCACTTGTGACAATTGATGCTTTAGCAAACTTGTCACATCGACTGAATGCCACAGCATTGGTGATGGACAGAATAAGTGCAATGGCTGTCAGTAGTAGCCAAATAAAGCTAAGCTTGAAAAGAATCAAAACAACCCAGGCCACGGGTGTCACGTAAGAAAGAAGCCAAAAGACTTTAGAGTCGATAGGGTTAATGTAGCGTTGGGGCTAAAAAAATGTTAGTAAAAGATGGGACCTAATTAAAATATATATATATATATATAGGACTTACATCGGCAGTCTCAAAAACCCAAATTGTGCTTCCATCTGGTGCACTTTCGTTCCACCATCGAAGTCCGACTAACAGACGACCCGAGACGTTTTTGACATTCCAGAAATCGGCTGCAAGTAACAGAATGATGATGACAAAGAGTAAGACTCTTTTAAAAGATTTTTGTTAATACGAAATAAATAAATAAAAAAAAAGGGGGGGAGAGGAGCATTAAAGAGAACCATGAAAACATACTTGTTTGATGTGAAAAGAGTACCGAATATGTAAATGAAAAGGGCACCTAAACGCACGCGTTAGTCAAAGTAATAAGAGTCTATGATTTAATTTAAAACTCACTTAGCCGGAAAAAAAGGAAAAAGAGAAGAGCGATAGGATGACTACTCTCAGATAATCGCTGAAACAGGGTTCTTGGCTGTTGCTGAACAGGAGCTGTGACATCAGGTTGAGTGACTGGAAGAGTTGAAGACTAGAGAGAAAGAGCTGTTAGAGAAACAAGAGTTGTTTATTAGTGATAAAATTTCGTACCATTTTAGAAAAGTGAATATGAAGAATCTACCAAAAACGTAAGATTGAGTCTTGTAATTGTCTTTATTTTATATATATATATCTATATATATTTTTGACAAGATACAAGAACTAAAATAGCAATTTCCTCTAGGATTGAGAAATTAGCGTCAAGAAGAAGAGAGGTTGGGTATTTAGATAAATGTTGGCAGTGGTAACAAAAAACAAAATAAAAAAATAACCAGCGCAGTTTTACTTTAACACTTTGCCGTGGCCTCTCGTCGACCGGGTAATTTCCACAAACCCTCTTTTTTTTTTTTCTTAAGTATATAGACACACACTTTTTTTTTTTTTAGCTCTCATCCCATGCAAAAAAAACTTTAACGGGGAACTTTTATAGAAGAAGAGTCTCTCCATTATTTTTTCTGATTCTCCAAAAAAAAAGAAATAAAAATAAAAATAAAATGTACATTCTTAGAATCAGAACTAATCAGACAAAATGCTTGATCTCTCAGGTTAATCATAACGGAGCCTTATCAAGACGATTTTTCTCAAGATCCGTATGTTGTTGCAAGCCTATCGTCCAGATCAAAGATGTCCAACAGTTGCCGCACAAAATCTCACCCACATACACAAAAGGTTTGTAGTTGTTATCACAATATTAGAAAGAAACCTTTTCCCAGATCCAACCTTTTATTTTATTTTATTTTAATTTTTTTTTTTCAAAGTATAGTTTCTAACTCTTAGAATTATTTGTATTTTTTTAACCATTTAAAGATCCTTCAACTGCTCCTAAAAATACCCTATACCACCTTTCATGGCCCAAAGACCAACATCCTCGCAACGTCTTTTTGGTCAAGAAACCATGGCAGCCCCACGTTCGTCAGGCCATGGTAGACTTTATTCTGTATGTTTTCACTATTCCTAAAACATTCACTTCATCTAACCCATAAGTTTTTTTTTTTTTTTTTTTTTTTTTTTTTTTTTTTTTTTTTGCTAAAGATTCCTCGCCCAAAAATATCCAAAAGTCAACGTTATTGTTGAGCCTGATGTTGCAGAAGAAATAGAGCCAGACTTTGCCTTTGTCAAGCAACCAAACCTCCCGTCCTCCATTTCTCTTTACACAACAACTGCAGACTTAAATCTCCAACGAATTTATCACAAGTCCGATCTGCTAGTGACTTTTGGCGGTGATGGAACTATTCTTAAGGCTGTTTCCATGTTTTCTTCCGTCCAAGCTGCTAAGTCAACTTCCTCCACTACCAATACAAACCTCGTTGCGGTCCCTCCACCTGTTCTCTCCTTTTCCCTCGGTACCTTGGGATTTCTCATGCCTTTCCATATTACAGATGCTCATTCCGTTTTTGCTAAAGTCCATGATGGTACTGCTCCTGTCATGCACCGCCGCAGACTCAAATGCTCCGTGTATAAAGACGCACGTACCCATAAGGTCTGGCCCACAGGTGTGCCTCCCCCAGTTTTTGCTAATCCTTCTTCCGATCCCACTGCTTCACTAGAACAACAACAGCACACGGCCTCGGTCCCAGAATCAGTCACATTTGCAATGAACGACATTAATATACATCGTGGGCCAGATCCCCATCTAACATACCTCGACATTACTGTCAATGCTCACTATCTAACCACAGCCATTGCCGATGGTGTGATTATTGCAACACCTACAGGCTCAACTGCATATTCGCTTTCATCTGGTGGTTCTATCATCCATCCGGCCGTCCCTTGTACCCTCATCACACCCATTTGCCCGCGCTCGCTATCTTTCCGACCCCTTGTTTTCCCTGGAGACTCTACTATTGAAATCGCAGTCTCTCCACTAACCCGTGGTCAGTCGACCGAAATCTCCATCGACGGCGCAAATAAAGGCGTCTTGAGTCCTGGAGACAAAATTGTTATTGAGCCAGAAGATGATGGCCCTGTGCCGGGGGCTCATTCAGGTATCTGGTGCGTCGCAAAGTCTGCAGGCGACTGGATCGGACATCTCAATGGTCTTTTGGGCTTCAACTCAAAGTTTGGAGCAAAACCCTGATAGAAACACTTTTATTTATAAACATATTTCTTTTGTATATAAGTTGAATTTCCAAAAAAAAAAAAAAAAAAAAAAAAAAAAAAAAAAAAAGAAAAAAAAGAGTCCCTCAGCTTATAATGAGCATTTCATCTTCATCTTCATGGTTGCTAAACATCACCATACTTTGCATGGCCTGTTCAAGCTCACTAGCTTTTGTAGGCGACCACGGCGTAAACACAGGCTGCTGTTGTTGCTGCCCATTCCCTCCCTCACCGTCCATCTCCACGTTAAATATGGGTGTTCCAACTCCTCCACTTCCAGATTCCAACGTTGTTTGCGACTCACCTCCGTACCCTGCAAACTCAATAAACTCGACCTGGCCTTTAGCTCGTCCGAAATCCAGCTCACTGTCTTTGATTGGCATCCCAAACATAGTACTAGGGAAGTATGGGTTCTCCTCACCGTACTTGTCACCTCCACCATTCTCATACTGTTCATCTTCGTCTTCATATGTTGCCAAAATAATGTGTCGGTCTGTATGCAAAAAAGGATAAGGCAAGCAAGGTTCCAATTCGAAAAATGCTAGTGGCTCCACCTTCTGCACAAGATCCATACGTTGATCATTTTCTGGAACATGAATCTTGCTCTTGATTCCATTGCCAAGAGCACTTTCTCCATCCTTGACAATCTCAATACCAATCTCCGGTGTCAAAAAACTTTCAGCAACTGGATGCCATGGCAAATCGTATTTCCAAGCCGTGCACCCAGTCACAACATCAACAACAAGAAGCTGGCCTTCACGTAACATTAAAATCTTATTATACGGAGCAGCTTCAATATTACTAAGATTACCTCCTTTGGAAAGAACGTCATTTGTAAGCGAATCATTAATTTGATTCTCATTATTGTTATTGTTATTTTCTCCTTGCCCATGATTCTCGGTTGATTCATGCGCGGCAGCAGCTGAATCCGGAGATGGGAGAGGTGTAGGTACTTGGGACTGGTGACGTTTGCGGGGATCTTTCTCGCTGCCAATCGTTTCAGGGACAAGCATCATGCTCTGGATATTCCATCCAGATAACTTCCAAATCTTGCTAAAATTATTGAAAATGACTCGCGAGAGTGGACCAGTCTTGTTACTGTTGCCGCTGCCATTACCACTCCCGGAACCACTACCAGATCCAGAAACATCCCTACTGCCAAGTACCCCTCCTCCTCCACCACCACCACCCCCGCCAGTTAACCCACCACCAACAACCCCACCACCTCCTCCTGGTGAGCCGTTGAATCCACCTTTTGAACTGATAGAAGCTGGAGATGATCCTGCTGGAGAATACATTGTAGTTTCAAAGGCGTTCCATGGCTGACGTTCAAACCAGTGAACACTACCCTTTTCACGGGTAATAATACCAAACCCGCCATCACTGTCCCATTCAACTTGGAACACCTTGGCAGGTGTCATGCCACGAGAATACTTGCCGCTGAGGCTGACCTGGTAAGGCACAAACGACAAGTCAAAAGTAAATATATTTTCTCCACGCGCAGAGACCGTGGCCAGCACAGAGTCAAAGGGCGAAAGGGAAAGGTGGGAAATGCCCTGTGGTGGGGTAAAAGTACAGATAGGCGAATTTGTCTCAAGATCAATCACCTGGACAGGTGGGGAATTAGCATTTACCTGAAACAAGCTCGAAAGTGCAGCAGGCAAATTCGCAACAACAGCAGCTGGTACGGCAGGACGCATCCCGCCTGCAACGCCGCCCCCAAGCCCACCACCAAGTCCACCACCACCGTCATACTTTGGAGGTGCTACAGCAACGCGACCAGACGAATCGACGCTAAACTTGTTATTTCCAACAAGAATAATGTTCGATTCACGGCGCTTATTATTGTAGGCACCGCTGCTGACGCCTGAAACACCGGCAGCTGCTCCTGCTGCTGGCGCCAAGTAGTGCTTAATACCGGCAACACCAACGTCGGAGATGGTTTTGAGGGAAGATGCAGTTGTGATGGAGAGGTTTTCTAATATACGGTCTAGTAATTGTCCTGGGGGAGGAAGTTTAAGAGGAGTGTAGAGAGCTGAAGCTGAGGGACCCTGGGCAGCCCCATTATTAGAGGATGTAGTAGAACCCAAGGCAGATGAGGAGTCTGGCCGTGCACCTGGTGGCATGAGCTGTGTTGGGGAATACACGAGCCAGCGACCAGAAATGTCAAAGAGTGGGAGCCCCTCAGCATTAAGGTTTGTTTCGAGACCTGAAAGAGGGAGAGGCAAAAACTCTGGGACAGAAAAGAGAGTGACTACACCAGAAGTTGTGATGATTGCAATGCATGAAGCCGAGTGTTTTGCATAAATGGAGTAGGGTCCTGGACCGGAAGACGCTGGTGGCAAGACGAGCGACTGTACAAAGCTTGGTTTTTTATTAAGTTGGTGAACCTCCAAGTAAATTGTTTCTTTGCGGAGGACCTGAAGAAGAACGAGGTTGCGGGTTGCGTCAGAGGTCAGCAGACCATTATCGTCGTAGGAATCTTTTCTTGATTTATTTTCTGATGACGATGTCGAAGAGTCTGTAGAAGGTGTAATATTTGCGGCTGTGGCTGGAATGAAATGGGCTGTAATAATTTTCCCATTAACCCCAAAGGTAGAGCCTGATATGCAAAACGAGCAATCTTTAGCTGAGAAGCTCCAGAGTTGTGCAACAGAGGGGTACGCTAGCAGTACTTGGCCAGAATTTGACGAAAGCTCAATGTTTGGTTTTGCATGATAAGCATTGCGTGCACTGGCTTGGAGCAGCGCGGCATCCGCAAAGCCGGAGGCTGGAGGGGGTGAAGCCGGACCTCCTATAACAATCGGTTGAGATGAGTCTTTAAACTGCGAAGATGGAGCTGCAGCGGCTGCAGCGGCCGCGGCAGCAGCAGCCGCAGCAGCAGCAGCTTGAGAAGACGGTGAAGAGCTTTGAGTTGCAGTTTGTGAAGGAAAAATATGGGACCGAGTCCAACGTGTTGCAGAAGTTAAGAAATCAATGTCATTGAAGGGGATTGGGCTGTTATTAAGCAAGGAGATAAGAGTTAATTAGGATGAATAAAGGAAATTTTTTAGATTAGATTACGTACGATTTATAGATTTTGGTAGAATCGTGAGTCGATAAAGGAGTCTTGATCGACATGATGATGGCGATTTGACTAGAAAGACAGAATTTGGAAAGTTTTTTTTTTTTATTTTATAAAAATTGTTGGAATAGTGATTGTATTTATATAGAATTGAAGATTAGAAAACAAACGAGGTGTTATGTGTGTGGGAAAGAGTGCGCAGGGGTGGGAGGATTTGCCCTTTTAACAGGCGCAGTTTTTTTTATTTTTTTGCTTGTTGGGGAGTATTTGTAGTATAGTAATAGTTAAGTTAGTAGATATTTATTTTTATTTTTTTTTTTGACATATGAGATAAGATAAGTGGCAGACTGTTTAGCACATATCATACTTACACACAGCAACCACGTGAGCAACAAACTAGTGAGCCGCAGCAGTTCAGATGAGTCACATATTACATAAGTGATATAATATTTATACAGTCCTAAATTTACTCAATAATGCGGCTTTAATAGTCGACTGGCACGCAATATCACTCAAAATATCCAAAGTTCAAGTTTATATTTAATTTTAATGATAACAACGACTCTCCGTCCAAAAAAAATAAAAAATAAAAAAAAAAAAAACATCTAAAATCTAATTATTCTATCATTCAATTCATAAATCTCTTCTAGTTCTTTTCATTCTTCTTCTCTTCAAGTTCACTTTTCTTATACTCAATGAACCGAGCAAGATTCATTGTAGCCTCCGTAGCCTTTTCCTTCAAAGCATAGTCCTTAACCTTGCTAATGCGCTTGAATGTCACTCGTAACTTTGGCAGCAACACTGTAAGTTTCTGGTTAATACCTCCTTGGACAAATACAGCTTCGTCCCACTCGCTCTCACCATCGCCAAAAATGGAAAATAGCGCGTAAATCACGTCAATAGCCACTTTTTCATTCAGGCCTCCAACTGCAGACGCTCCCTTGGTCACCACAATATCAAGCAGAGTCAACAAATACTCTCCAACCCGCTGTGTCAGCTCAACACGGCCAGGGGTTTTGGCCAAAACTGTAAAGAACCCAATTAATCGCACGTAGTGCTCGCTGGCCTCGGCTGCAGGGTACAGAGTCGAGATGGTTTCCGACTGCGAAATTAAAAAGTTGATAGCTTCAGGCGTTATCGGAACAACCCCGTCGAAAAACGACGCAATTGCCCACAAAATGCCCACCGAAGAATTTATCGACTCAATCTCAACAAACGGTTTGTTTTCGGTAGTTGTCACGTGCGGAAGAAGCTCTGTCCACAGCTGCTCTGCTTGCTGCTTCCATAAAGTGGCATATTTCCGGTTGGCCTCTAGAGACCATGCAAGGTTATTCAGCACGTTAAGAGTTCGTGATAAATATTCACTATGTGGTAAAAGCTTGAATAAAGTGGGGATAACCTGCTCTTGCAAATATTGAAAAGTTGGCTCCAAAACGCTGTTATTATCAAATCCCCAAAATTCTTCCTGAACAGGGGTTTCTTCAACAGCAACAGACTTTCGAATATAAAGCTCCATATCTTCATCCTTATCATCTTCCATATCTTCGTCCACCTCCTGTGGCTTAGGCGCACAGGGCTGCTTCTTGGGGTCCACAGAAATGGTCTCAGCAATAGCTGCAACCACCTCAAGAGAAATCTGCACACCCTCTGCAAGGTACTTACTGGTCACTGCCTTTTTATATAATGCAATGGCCTCCTTGGGTTCCAGGCCGTCGGCAGTCGCGGTAATATCTTGCTGGATGGCCGAGACGTCGACCGATGTCATAAAAGTATTGAGTGCCTGGAGAACCTCTAAAATATGTGGTGCAACACTGGAAAGTTCCTCAGTGGCATCTGTGAGAGAAATCTGAATCGAATTATACTTTAAGCCATTAAGGTATACAAGACCCAAAGGTGTGTGCTTTGATGGGGTTTCAAGAATCTCTGGTAATGGCAAAGTGGAAACCGATTTGATAAAAGGCTTATTGTCTTGTGAAAAAATGTAGAGAGCCTCGCAAGCAGCACCGAAAAGCGCTGATGTAATTTGCTTTTGAGAAAATGCAGTAACGATTGTAACGAGAACGGTAGGCAGAATCTCGCTTAGCTTTTCGCAAATATCGTCGAAAATGCTATCACTAGACAAAGCCATGGCTGAAAGCAGACCAACCACGTTTTCAAGCAAATCGTTGCTGTCCTTAGTTCCAACATTATTAGCCTTGTTAGACAAAAGTATCTTGATGGCTTGCAAAATGTCCTGGCGCCAGAGAAATACGGTAGAGTCGTATCCCTCTTCAATGCTAATATTCCGCAGCAGACCATATGACTCAGTGATTATATCATTATTGGTTTCTTTGGCAAGAATTTCCAAAATATACTTAAGCAAACGCTCCTTGAGGAACAATGTACGGTTCTTGGGGGTTTCACATAAAAGGGTAATCTCAGAAAGGGAAGCGGATCGCGTTTCTTCGCTTTCAGAGTTCAAGCTTTCAATCAAAGGCTTGACCTTGGTTTCAATAAACTGGGTGTCTTTGTTATTGACACCAGAAGCAGGAGAAGAAGCAAACTTAGCGTTGCGGGCCTTTGACTTGTTAGCTTTCTTTGTTTTTGCCATTTTTCTATTTGATATTGTGTAATGTTGTTTAAGGTAAAAAAAAAAAAAATTTGGAGATCATTGAAAAAAAAAAAAAATTTTTTTTCAATCCCCGCGTATATTCCAGCACTAAGTATCTTAAAAACTATGGCAATATCCGGAAAATTACCACTTGAAAACTTTTCTTACTGCACCACCCAAATTTTTAATTTTTTTCTTCCCTTCCCACCTCTTTTTTTTTTTTTTTTTTTCATCACCACCACCAACCCCATCTACACACTACAGAAATGCTTTCCATCTTAAGGAGATCCAACATCACTGCAGCTCGATCCCTGCTGCTCACTACCCGTTTCTACTCTGCGCAGGCGGCCCCGGCGGCTGCTCCTGCTGCTAAGCCCAAGGGACCCATTTCTTCGTGCCCCGCAGGAACCGTTATTAAGGGCCTCAACATTAGAAAGGGTCAGGACCCCATTGTCGCGCGTCCTGACGAAGAGTACCCAGAATGGCTGTGGACCGTGTTGGACAAGAAGGCCCAAGATAAGAGGCTCGAGCAAGACCCAATCAAGGCTGCAAGGAAGCTGCGACGGCAAGAAAACCGCAAGAAGATTAAGGATAATAACTTCTTGGCCAAGATGTCGAAATAAATGAAACCAAACATCACTTTTGTATATACAGAATTAAAGAAAAAAAAACACAAATCAACACATCATTACTTTGTACATAGAAAAAACAAACATTTACTGCTCTTTAGAGACTTCGTTATTATTATTATTATTGTTATTCGCATCCAGATTATTGATGGCTGCGCTTTCGTATCTTTGGATCTCCTGCTCAATCTGTGGCTTTAAGGCGCCATCTTTTCGTAATTGCTCACTTCGACAGTCAGTATTGATGTTAAAGGAATCAGCATAAGGGCACATACATAATCATGGGCTGGAAAAACGCATAGCCAGTAGCTATTCCTACGACAGCTGTAACAACAGGAATAGATTTAACAAGGAGATTCGACATTTTGGATTGATTTAATTTAGGGGAGTTTTTTTTTTTGGTGATTGTTAGATATGAGAGGGAGAAATTATTGGGGAGGACCAAAAGCTTGTTTAGAGTAGAAATAGATTACCTCATCTTTATGTAATCATGTTTATTTTGGACCAGTATTTAAAAATAACGGCTCTTTCTTTTGATCTCTATTGTCATCTCTCCATATATCACACACACACACACACACACACACACACACAAATAGACAATGCTGGATGGTTTCGGTATGTTGCGAAACACACATAAACTCTTTGGGTTCTTTGATCATTAAATATTTTTTTTTAAAATAAAAAAAAAAGCATTAAAAGTTTAGCGGAATATCACTATTAAATCTGATGAGGAACAGCAAAACCAGCAAGATTAAAAAGACTATTGCTTGAGACAGTAGTTACCAGAGTTTGCCTTGGAACATGGCAAAGTATGAATGAGAAAAAAACAGAGACAGTGAGATCGAAGGTGTTTAATATAATATTTAATTTTTTTTTTTTGTACTTATTTTTAATGAAAAAAAAAAGCGCAAATTGAAGTTTTTTAAAAAAAAATACCATTGCTCAGATACCTTCATTTTAATATTCAAAATTGATTCTCGATATTCCGTCATAGCGGTCGCCAGTTTATCTTCAGGCAACGTAATCGCAGTCAATTAAACAGTATTTTAAGGATCATGCACAAAGAGATAGCTAAGATATTTCAAAGTACCTTTTTTCGATTTAAAAAAAAAATAATAATAATAATAATAATAATAATAATAGTGGTAATAGTAAGTTTGGACTTTTATTTCTTTTTGAACCTGTCAAAATACCAGCATGTTCCTGCTTGTTTACAAGTTAATTTCCACAATGAAAGTAAAAAATTAATAAAAAAAAAAGTGTGAGATTTCCGTCAATGCAGACTCACAAAATACCCATCGAGATTTCTTTTATTCAAGGCGTAAGATAGAGATTACAAAAAAAAAAATTAAATATTGATACCAATTTTGAAAACTGGTCAATGAAAAAAATGATATAAAAAGACTTGATATTTCCTTGATATTTCATTTTTTTTCTTCTTCTTCATCTTCATCAATCAACAGGATTTGAATTTTTTTTTTTTCTCTTTCATTCATCTTTTATTCATTCTTTCATTTTTCACACTCTTTTTATCTTCAATGAAGCTTTCTTTTGTCGCAACTGTTGCGTTTGCGGCTTATGCAATGGCAGCCCCAATTGCCAATCCTGAGGCTGCTCCTCTTGCTGCTCCCAAAGCCAAACCGTTTGCTTTCCCCACTTTTGGACTTTTGAGTTCACTTCTTAGCTCTCATTCAAGTAAAAGCAGTAAAAGTAGCGGAAGTTCTTGCTCTTCTTGCTCCTCTGGTTCCTCTGGATCTTCAAACACTACCGTCATAGTTCCTGTATCATCAGGTTCTACAGGATCAACTACAACAACATACACTACAGGATCTACAACTGGTAGTTCTGGCGGCGGTGGCGGTGGCGGTGGTGGCGGCGGTGGTGGTGGAGGAGGAGGCTCTTCAGGTGGTTCTGGTGGTTCTGGTGGTTCCGGTGGTTCCGGTGGTTCTGGAGGCTCCGGCGGTTCTGGTGGGTCCAGTGGAAGTAGCACCAGTGGTACTTCTACTACCAGCAGTGGTGGCGGTGGTGGCGGTGGTGGTGGAGGTGGAGGTGGTGGAAGCAGCAGCGGCGGAACCACAACTACAACGACTACGACAACTAATAACGGCGGGACCACTGGTGGTTACGTTATTAGCAGTGGTGGTAGTGGAAGTTCCGGGTGCTCTTCATGCAGTTCCAAATGGAAGAAAGCTTAAAGCTCTTTATTTATCTTTAATGGCAAGCCGGTCTTGTCATCTTTTTTTTTATATATAAATCCTAGGTATACCATTTTTAAAACAATGAATCAAAGTCGGCCTCTTCTTCTCCAAACAAGTCATCATGGTTGGCTGGCTTGTTTGTTGGTTTTTCATTTTCACTAGCCCCTTCCTCACTTTCTTCTTCGTAGTCTGGTTGCGGCGTTGAATTAAACGCAGAAGGTGGCTCGGATGATCGTTGGAAATCAACCTCGTAAGTGTCTCCCGCTGGTGTCGCCACAGTGGAGCTCAGAGACGCAGAGACTACCGGCGTTGCTGCGCTAGGTTCCTTACTGAGCGACACAGCAGCAGCTGTGGCTAGAATGGGTGGTGGTACATCTTCAATATTAGGCTTTGGTGTTGGTAGCGTTGAAGTTTTATCGTCTTCATTATCATCTCCGTCACCAAGATTTGCCAGAATGTCATCCAGGTCATCATCATATCCTGGAATCTTTTTGAGTTGCTTCTTCTTGGTCTCAATTTCTTGCTTAATCTTTTTGATATCATTGAGAACACGGCCCTTGAGAATAGGGTTCTTGCGTGCATCTTTTTCCTTTTCCTTTTGAGCCAAACTGCGTGCAAGATCTCGTAGCTCTTCGCGAATGATTTGGTTACGGTTTAATGCTTCTTGTGCTTCTTCATCAAGGTCTTCACCTCTAGGACCATTGACATCTTCTTCTTCATCTTCTTCCTCTTCTTCTTCTTCTTCGTCATCTTCATCTTCATCGTCGTCGTCATCTTCTTCATCTTCATCACTTTCCAGGGCCTTTTCAATTTCTACATCGAGATCCATAAAGTCTTCGTCCTGGTCTTTAGGTGTTTCTGCAGGTTTCCCAGCTGCAGAAGTAGGGGCTGTGTGTGGTTTTTCAACTTTAGGGGCCGTCGATTGTAACGAAGCTGTAACCTCTTTGGCCATGGCTTCGATATCGGCATCATAATCGTCATCTTCTTCTTCCTCATCCTCTTCATCTTCATCTTCATCACCAATTACTGGCCGTGGCGTGGGTGCCGCACTTCCGGCTCTTGAAGTTGTTGTTGTGGAATCCAACAACTCATAAATTGTTTTCTCTGCTTCTTCGTCCTTTTTAAATAGCTCGTCGACCCTGGCTTCTACAGACTCAATGACTTTTCTTGATATTCGTTTCCGGAACCGTCGATGTTTAACATTATGCATGGGTGGGGTAATGCCATGTGGTGTACATGTTGCATCTGTACCCTCTAAAGAAGTAGATTCAAGTTTTAATACATCGTCTTCATACTGAATAGGTTCTGTAACTAGCAACATTTGACAAACGTCAGCCACTTTGTAGATATTTTTCCGATCAAACGACTTGTGTGTTTCTGTGATTGTAGGTAAGTCAATAAGTTTAGCTGCAAAAAGTTGCTCGTGGATAGAAACAACTGCTCTTCGAGAATCTTTAAACTTGATTGTGACGTTTTTCAGTTCGCCTTGGTCGCATGCTGCTCTCAAGTAGTCTAAATGTTGGCCCGGTACCATGCGCAAAGCAATGGCATCTTCAACCATAGGATCATCTTCTCTATCTGGAGCTTCTGAGTCGTAACCGGAACCAGGGTTTCGATTGGGTTTCACACGGATTTTCGGCGCCTTGTCTTTTTTGCTTTGTTTAGGAATAGCCTTGGGTGGGTTTTCTGAGGTTGCTGCTGGAGCTTCTGGTTCTTCTTGTTTAGGTTCCTTGGTGGTCTGAGTGACAAGCTTGATTTTAGGAGCTTTTATAGCTTTAGATTCACTTTTTTTGGTTTTACTTGCACGAGGAGTCTTTGGAGCTTTAGTTGAAAGCTTAACTTTGAGCTTGGGGATTGGTTGTTGAGTTCCGTCGGGTAGAGTATCTATAGGTACTGCAGAAGCTGCTTGTGTGCCAGCTGAAATAGCTGAAATTGCCGGTATCGTTCCAGTATCTTCACTTGGCTGAGCATTGTTAACAAGCGAAATTTTTGGTTTCTGAGTCTTTGGTTTGGGTTTTGAGAGTGTGATTTTGGGGGTTGGCGCGCCTTCTGTTGCCACTTGTTTACTAGGAGATTGGTCTGTTCCATCAGTCTCACGTTTTCGCTTGCTTTTAGTTTTCGACTTGGGTGTAACATTTGCTTCACCAGTTTGGTCATCAGGGGCCTGCTCTGCACCATCAGGACCTTTATTCTTAAGTTTCAATCGAATCATTTTAGATATTTATAATGAGAGGGGAATGTCAATGAAAATGTCGACGCGTATTATTTTTTTTTTTTTTTTTGTTAAACCTTCAGTTGCCGGGTAACTCCCCCATTTTTTTTTATACACTTGAAAAATTCTCTGCATCGTCAACTTGTCAAACTCCAAAAACGCAACTTTAAAATGTCAGTTGGAATCACGCCCAGTATCGTCGAGGCTTCATTCCGGAAGTCATTTGGACGCCGTAGCATTTTAAACTATAATCTAAGTGGTAAGTGTTTGTACTCTTACTTTTTTTTTTTTTTTTGTTGACCATTTATTTCTATCTAACATTTGGTTGGTAGTCAGCGCCATTCGTAAAATGAAGCTGGCCGAGTACTATAAGGATAATGTAACCATCATTGATGCATATCCAGGCAATGGTATCTGGTCTGCTGCACTCCATAACGAGATTAAACCTGCCAATCATGTTTTGCTTGAGCCATTGGTTGGCGCGCAAAAGTTTTTAAAGCAGTTTATTGATCCCTCAAAAAATACACTCAAACTATGGCCGGAGGATCCGTTTCGTTGGGCAACATATGAGAATATTGTTACCGAGAAGGTAATTACGCCGATTGTGCATCCACGGACAGAGATTAATCCTCATTTGCTATTTACATGCAATCTGAGTACAATTCAAGGCGAGCAACTGTGTGTGCAGTTTCTTAATTGTGTCATGAACCGAAACTGGATCCAAAAATACGGTCGAGTTAGAATGCTTCTTTGGATCCGATATAGTACTCTGGTGAAGCTGCTTGCAACTCCAGGATCCAAGCGTCGTGGTCGTGTGAGTGTTCAAACTGAGGCATGTTCAGATACGCGATTGATTATAGATAACAAGATGGCGGATCTGACTCTGGATAAGCAAAAATACGAGCCATTAGAGGTCATGACGAAACCCAATGATATTTTCCCTACGGTATGTGAAATTTTAGAACAAAAACAAAAATAAAAACAAGAAGAAGAAGGGCCTATGGACTAACAAGAAATAGGCAACGACACAGAAAGCACCAATTGCACTGATTCAGGTAGATCCTTTGGAGGCTGACATTGAGCAGCTGGACTACTTTGAGTATGTGATTCGAACACTGTTTATTCTCAAAACACGGCCGCTTAAAGAGGGTCTGGCAATTCTAGGTCCCGGTGCACTAGACGACATGGGCCCATCACTACGGCCACTGCTCAACAAAAAACCAGCAGACATGACGCTGGAGGAGTTTTTCCTTGTTACCAAAGCATTTGGTGCATGGCCGTTTAAGCCTGAGATTTTGCACGACTTTTATGCTGAGAGTGATTATTCACTTCATGCCACCAGCGTTTCCAACTCGTCCGGGCGAACGTGACGGGACCCGGTGTTTATGAATTTATTTATTTATTTATTTAATTAATTAATTATTTAATTAACTGTATATAGTAACTCAGTGCGGCTCACACTAAAAAGTTTTTTTTTTTTTTTTTTTAATTTTTTTTTTTTTGTTGTTGTAAAAAAAAAAAAAAATTTTTTTTTTTTTCTTTTAAGGTGGCAATGCACGCCGCTCAAAAGACTTCCGGATGAGGCGAAATTCGGGAAAAGCCTCACGTATATAATGTATTATGACTAAGCACTTAGATAATTTTTTTAAAGGAAAAAAAAATTTTTTTTTTTTTTTTCTAAGTTTTAAGATAAACACCCAAAAAAAAAAATTAAAAAATTAAAAATAAAAAATAAAAAAATAAAAAATTGTTCCAGCATATAAAACCAGCCAAATCCCCCCCCAAGTCTTTCTTTCTTTTACCTTTTTTTTTTTTTTTTCTTTCCCTCCCCAAAGCCATAGAAAAAAAAATTTTTTTCTTCCCCCTTAATTTTCTTTATTAATTAACTTTCAAAAGAAAAATTTTTTTTTTTAAAAATGTCTTACGGCGACAGATACAATAACGAAAATGGTTCCGGTTACCGCGGCGGAAGAGACCGTGGTGGCCGTGATGACCGCGGTGGCGACCGTGGCCGCAGAAATGGTGGCTATGAACGTCGTGATGACCGTGGTGGTTTTGACCGCCGTGACGACCGTGGTGGATATGACCGCGGTGGAAACTTTGGCGACAATCTGGAGAAGCAAGAATGGGATCTGGACTCACTGCCCAAGTTTGAAAAGAACTTTTACCACGAGCAACAGTCTGTTACTGATCGCACCGACGCCGAGGTTGATGCTTTTAGAAATGAACATCAGATGACTGTTTACGGCAAGGACATTCCCAAACCTGTTCTTACCTTTGACGAAGCTGGTTTCCCTGGCTATGTCCTCAAGGGCATTAAGGAGCAAGGTTTCGATGCTCCCACAGCCATTCAATCCCAGGGTTGGCCCATGGCTCTTTCTGGTCGTGATGTTATTGGTATTGCGGCTACTGGTTCCGGTAAGACTCTTTCTTACTGCTTGCCTGCTATTGTTCATATTAATGCCCAGCCACTTCTTGCTCGTGGTGATGGTCCCATTGCCCTTGTGCTTGCTCCTACTCGTGAACTTGCTGTCCAGATTCAGCAGGAATGCAGCAAGTTTGGCCGCACCTCTTCCATCCGCAATACTTGTGTTTATGGTGGTGTCCCACGTGGTCAGCAGATTCGCGACTTGGCTCGTGGTGTTGAGATTTGCATTGCCACCCCTGGTCGTTTGATTGATATGCTTGAGAGTGGCAAGACTAACTTGAAGCGTGTGACTTACCTTGTTTTGGACGAGGCTGATCGCATGTTGGATATGGGTTTTGAGCCTCAAATTAGAAAGATTGTTGACCAGATTCGCCCTGATCGTCAGACTCTGATGTGGTCTGCCACTTGGCCCAAGGAGGTTCAGCGTCTTGCTCACGATTACCTCAAGGACTATATCCAAGTCAATGTTGGATCTCTGGAACTTTCTGCCTCACACAATATTACACAGATTGTGGAGGTTGTTAGCGAGTATGAGAAGCGCGAGCGTATGAGCAAGCACCTGGAAAAGGCCATGGAAGACAAGTCTACCAAGTGTCTGATTTTCACTGGCACCAAGAAGTCTGCAGATGAGATTACAAAGTACCTTCGACAAGATGGCTGGCCCGCACTGGCCATTCACGGTGACAAGTCCCAGGCAGAGCGTGACTGGGTTTTGGATCAGTTTAGAACGGGCAAGTCCCCGATCATGGTTGCAACTGATGTTGCTTCTCGTGGTATTGGTATGTATACAATATTGTTTTTAAAGTTTCCAGTGACGGAATTTAATATACCCTTGGTCACTTGGAATATACCCCTCCTTTTTTTGATTTTTTGGAGAAAATACCCCCCTTGAAATGTTGATGCACGTTGTGTAAAATGTTTATATTTTTTCGGGATGATGTTCGATGATGTGATTTTGATTCAAGATTAAATCTTTTACTTTGTTTTTTTTTTTTGTTGTTTGTTGTTGACCTGCTTAAAATGTCGCTGAGCGACGATAATACCCAGCCTCTTTTAAAATTTTAAGTTTTTATAAATAGATAGAAACTATTATGCAGGTTTATAGAACAATAAAAAAAAAGATTGAGCTTTTTTTTCTGCTAGTCGGAGAAAAAGTTTAAATTAATGAAAGATTTTGGTGTTTGATTAGAGAAGGACTTCTTTTTTTTTTAGTCTCTTTCTCTCTACTACATCTTGTTTCAAAAATGCGTAGATGTCGTCTCTTTGAGTACTGGGGGTTTTTTTTTTTTAAAAAGAAAAATAAATAAATGTTTTGGGAGCTTTGAAGACGTGGATGGAGTTTTAAACGAAGTATAATTTGTTATTTTTCCCATGTTAAGTTTCTAAAATGATTAGAAGGAAGAATGATTTCAATTGAAGTCATTATTATTATTATTTTTTTTTTGAACCTATTTGCTAATTGATGTTTTTTTATTTTTTTTATTTTAGATGTTAAGGGTATTAACTACGTTCTTAACTACGACTATCCTTCCAACAGTGAAGATTACGTCCACCGCATTGGCCGTACCGGTCGTGCTGGATCCAAGGGTACTGCCATTACTCTGTTTACACAAGAGAACCAAAAACAAGCCCGCGACTTGCTGACAATTCTCAAGGAAGCCAAGCAGGAAATTGACCCCAAGCTTCAGGAAATGGTGCGCTTTTCCAGAGGTGGTAATGGCAACTCGAGATATGGTGGTGGCGGCAGAGGCCGTGGTGGTTACGGAAGAGGCTACAGCGGTGGTAATGGCGGATACGGTGGTGGTAACAACCGTCGTAATAACTTTACCGGATCTAATAATGAGCCTTTGACACGTTCTAGATTTTAAAAAAAAAAAAAAAAAAAAAAAAAGGGTCAAGTGAAAGTGGTATTGTTAATTATTCTTATTAATGTAATTTTATAAAGTTGGTTTCATTTTTTTTTATTATTATTCTTGTTGTTGTTTTTAATATTATTATCATTATTATTATTATTTTATTATTATTATTATTATAATCTATTTACTACTGCTCAACCTTTTCAATCTTACCTTGTTGCATGCTATCTCCAAGAGACCCGACCAAAGCAATGCGCTGCACAGCCGTGGGTTCGTCCTCATCAGCACCATCAAGGAATATCAGTACGGAACCAACACTTTGAAAACGCACAAAGCGCAGGGGGACCTCGATCCAGCCATCGGCATCAGGCTGACCAATTTCTGCTTCGTGAAGAGCACCAGCACCTGCAGCAGCATCCTCGAATGCCATGGTACCAGTAGTATTTGCCCAGACCTTGATGGTGGCAGGGGGCTGAGCGTCGTCACCGTCTGGGGTGGTTGCGTTAGGAGCGGTTTGGATAAGGATGGAATAAACCTTGCATTTGTTTGCAAAGGGTGCATAAATTAAGACTTGAGAATCTGCATCGGAGATGATGGCTGGGTCATCAGAGGAAGATTTGGAAGAAAGATCAAAGGCGGCTTTGGATGGTGGGGTGGATGTTTGCAGGACATTAAGGATTTCTGTAGAAGATGAGATGATGGCAGAGTTGAGGAGCTCATAACCCTTGGGGATATATTTTTGAAGAGCTGGAGGAGTACCTGAGGAAGATGAAGAAGAAGAAGAGGAAGATGAAGATCCGGAAGGTGAGCTTGAGACTGTGGCCGAGGGGTTAAGTGCAGAAAGAGTTTGAATGGCAGCTGCGAGGGCTTGTGGGTTAGCACCAGCAAATCTAGCTGTTTCCTTTTGTTTATGGAAAGACACGAATGTAGGCCTTTTATTTATTAATTTAATTTTTTTTTTTTTTTTTCATCAATTGTTAGAAAATGAATTGTAATGTAAATATTCCGAGCAAACTTACATGGAAGAAACATTATATTTGCGGGCAATGGGTTGGCTCTTGTCAACATCAACTTCTAAGACTTTGACATTAGGCGTTGCAGCTGCGAATTTCTCAAGAACTGGTGCAATGACCTGGCAAGGACCTGTGTGAAGTAGATGTTAGAGATCAATTGGAGAGAAGAGGAAGAAAAAAAGAGGGAAGGAGAGAAACATACCACACCAAGCAGCTGTGAACTTGACAAGAACAAGTTCATTAGCGGCCAAGAGTTGGTCAAAGAGCCGTTGTTCAAGAACGTGTTGAATATGATTTGACATTTGAAAAAAAAAAAAAAAAAGGATGTATGTATATAAGAGAATGTTATAAATATAAGTTAAATTCTAGGTGAGAATAAAAAGTGTGAAGATATTAGATAGGGTTGAATCTTTTATATTAAATTTTTTACTTCTTTAATTCTGTTTTTTGGGGGGCAAAAACAAATTTGGTTTGGATATTTGGGGGGGGGGGGTTTTTTGGTGATTTGCCAAAGGAGGTTTGGAAAAACTTAAAAAAATATATATATATAAATTATAAATATATAACCCTAACATCTATGGGTAAGGGTTAAAATTAATTTTTTTTTTTTGGAGGGTGGAATTTTTTTTTTTTTTTAATGAAGAAAAAAATTTCAGCCTTGAAGCCTTTAAATATCAAAAATAAATAAAAAAAAAAAAAAAAAACAATGAGCGAAGATAAGATTGTGGGCATCAAGCATGACCGAGTGACAAATGTAAGTAGTAGAATTTGCTATAAACCTTTTTTTTTTTTTGTTTCTTTTTTTTTTTTTTTTTCATTTCATTTTTCTAACAATATACTTTAGGTCACTGCTACGGATTTCCCTGGACATTACAACGACGTTGAGAATGCATGGAGCCTGGACACGTTCAAGAAACAACTGGATATTAAGATTCACTATCTGACAGATGATGTTGGGAACTTTGATCTTATTGGAGCTGACTCTTCTATTGCAAACGCGTTTCGACGGATCATGATGGCTGAAGTCCCCACGGTTGCCTTTGAAGAGGTTGTTTTTACCAATAACACAGGCATTATGCACGACGAAGTGCTTGCCAGTAGAATCGGACTGGTTCCATTAAAAATTGATCCGGATAAAGTTGAGTGGTACCCATTCTATGAGCCAGCTCCAGTTGTAGATGGAGAAAAAACATCACCAGCAAATGATAGAAATACAGTGCCATTTTCACTCAAGGTGTCATGTACACATAAGCCCGGTGCTAGCAAAAATAAAAATAACAGCAGCAACAGTAACAGTAACAGCAACAATAACAATAACAATAACAATAACAGTTTGCAGAAGGCAGATGATTTGTATGAACATCATACAGTTTTTGCAAAAGATTTGGTGTATGCAGGATCGGAGGAACAGTTGGAAAAAGTATTTGGTGGAGTACGACCAGAAGTTTTGTATCCGGATATTGTGTTGACCAAGCTGCGTCCTGGACAGGAGATTGATTTGATGGCCTATGCTGTTCTTGGAGTTGGTTCAGACCATGCCAAATTTTCTCCTGTTGCTACTGCAAGTTACCGGTTGATGCCTCATATTGAGTTATTAGAACCGATTGAGGGAGCAGCTGCAGAGAAGTTACAAACATTGTTTTCCCCTGGAGTTATTGGGATTGAAGATGGCCAAGCAGTGGTTAAGGATGCAAGAAGAGATACTGTGTCACGCGAAGTGTTTCGTCATGAGGAGTTTAAGGATAAGGTGAGATTGGGTCGTAAGCGAGACCACTTTATATACCACGTGGAGTCGACTGGTGCGATGCAACCAGATGAGATATTTGTCAAGAGTATTGATATTTTGCGCAACAAGTGTTTAGGACTTTTACAATATGATTTAGCATAGAGGGGTCATTAAAAAAAAAAAAAAAAAAAAAAGGAAAAAAGAAAGAGAGAAATATATATATAAATTACAAGATTATAAAAAAAAAACTAATACAACAAAACATTAAAAACTTTTTTTCTTATTTTTTATTATTCTTTATTTTTATTCATTTTTTTTTTTAATCTAAGGAGCGTATTCAATGGTCTTGAGATCAGAGGCCACTTGGAAAGAAGTACCAGTAGCAGCCTTGATATCATCCACAGTAAGACCAGGGGCAACTTCCCTCAGAAGAAGACCGGAATTGTGATCAACATCAAAGACAGCCATATCTGAGATAATTCTAGAGACAACTTTAGCGCCAGTGATTGGCAGAGAGCATTCTTCCACAATCTTAGGACGGCCAAACTTATCGACGTGGTCAGTGCAGACAACAACACGAGTTTTTTCAGGGTTTGCAACAAGATCCATGGCACCTCCCATACCTTTAACTTTACCAGGGATGAACCAGTTGGCAAGATCACCATCCTTGGAAACTTCCATAGCACCAAGCATAGCCATATCCATTTTACCAGCACGGATCATGGCGAAAGATTCCTCTGAACCGAAAACAGAAGCACCCTTTGTCAGAGTAGCAGCAGCCTTACCTGCGGAAATAGTATCGGGATCTTCCTCGCCAGGTCTGGGCAGACCACCAAGTCCAAGAACACCGTTTTCAGATTGCAGTTGCATATCGATATTAGGGTCAGCATAAGAAGCAGCCATGATTGGCACACCAATACCCAGATTGACATACATGCCTTCCTTAAATTCAAGAGCAGCACGGCGTGCAATTTTCTCCTTCTTTGACATGTCTTTAACGTCATGGTGTTCCACTTCGGTAGATTCCTTGGCAAACTCAAGACGTTCGAATTGGTGAGGGTTAAGGGACTGGACCACGTAGTTGACGTAGATACCAGGGATTGTAATTTCATTAGGAGAGAGTTCACCGACCTCGACAATATGGTCAGCTTCAACAATGGTCATTTTGGCAGCACGGGCCATGACACCGTTAAAGTTATGTGCGGTAGAGTGGAAAACACAGTTACCTAAGCGGTCAGCCTTGTATGCTTTGATGATACCGACATCACCGACAAGGGCGTGTTCGAGGAGGTAACGTTTGCCATCGAAAATGCGGGTTTCCTTTTCTTCGGAATAGGTCATGACAGTTCCGTCTGGGTTGTATCTGATGGGGAGTTGGCCGTGTTCAACAACAGTGTTAAGGGCAGCTGGGGTATAAAAAGCTGGGACACCTGAGGCAGCAGCTTTAAGGCGTTCAGCGATAGTACCCTGTGGGGTGAGTTGAAGAGAGATTTCGCCTGTGAGGTAAAGTTTTTCAAAGAATTTATTTTCTCCAATGTATGAGACGATAGCTTTGCTTACTTGGCCAGAGTTGAGGAGTTTCCCCAGACCTTTACCGTCGACACCTGCGTTATTTGAAACAATGGTGAGGTCTTTGATTGATGATTTTTGTTTAAGAATGGAATCGATGATTGTATCTGGGATACCGCAAAGTCCGAAACCTCCGGCAAGGACAATATCACCGGATTTGAGACCGGATTTGGCGACAGCTTCGTCAGTAGAGTTTAAGATTTTAGAGATTTTGGCGCGAGGTGCGGAAGATGCGAAAGTACGTGCGAGGATACGCGCAGAGGCCTTTGAGAAGGTCAGTCTGCTAGAGATGAGAGCGTTCATTGTGTGTGTGTGTGTGTGTATATGTATATGTATATGGGAAGATATTAATTAAAAAAAGATGGATAAGGAAAAAAAGAAAAAATAAAAAAAATAAAAAAAAAAAGGAAGAAAAAAAGAAAAAAAGAGAGAAAGAAAATATAGAAGTTAAGGATATATTTATATATAAATAAATATACTAAAATATATACATATATATAAGAATTTAAAATCTAAAAATTGACGAAAAGAGTCGGTCGTTTACGGGTCATTTTGAATGGATTTTATTTGTTTTGTGTGTGAGAAAATCCGGTGAGATTTTTTTTTTTTTTTTTTTTTCCCCCTCCCCTCTTCCTCCTGTCACAATTTTAATTTATATTTTTATATATTGAGGAGGGGTGTGTGTTTGTACGGAAGAAAAAGAATAAGATGAAGAATAAGATGAAGAAGAAAAAGAAGAAGAAGAAGAAGAAGAAGAAGATATAAAATGGTTTTCTTTCTTTCTTCCTCTCTCCCCGCATGGTCAGCGGAGGATTTCAACTACAAGTCCGATGATAGTATTTAATGAAAATGAAAAAAATTTTGAAAAAAAAATTGAAACTGAAGAATAAGAAGATGATTTATTATTATTATTATTATTATTATTATTTTCTACAGAAGGAATTTTTTTTTTTTAATTTTTCATTAAGAAGAAGAAATTTATATAAAAGTTTGTTTGTTTGGTTGGTTTTTGTTTGTTTGTTTGTTTGTTTATTTATTTGAACGGACGTAATTAAAAAAAAAAAAAATTTTATAAATTTTATAAATTTTATAAATTTTATAAATTTTTTTTTTTACCCCGGAAATTCTCCCCTTAAAATGTGGAGATTTTTTTTTTTTTTTTCAGTTCAACGGCTGAGCTTTAATTGCCCGCCGAAGTTTGGCCGTACAAGCGCATTTAAAAGAAATTAAATTAAATCAACAACAACAACAACAATTGTAAAGAGAAATTTTTAAAGAAGAAAAGAATTTACTATTTCTTTTTTTTTTAAATTTTAAATAAATAAAAATATAAAAAGTAAATAAATAATGTTTTGTTTATAAAAAAAAAAATAAATAAAAAATAATATCTTTTTTTTTTAATACATTTATCCTTTTCAATTAGGAATATTATATATATATATATATTTTTTTTCTTTTTGGGAGAGGAAAAATCCAAGTTTCGGAGAATTTCTCGGTGATTATTATTATTAAATAGAAGAGGGGAGAGAGAGAAGAGTCAAAAAGGCAAAAAGTTAAAAGGTGACAAACATGACATGACTTGACTTGACTTTGATTTGATTTGATTTGATTTTGATTTTGATTTGATTTTGACCATATATAATTGATTATATTTTGTAAGTGGCCTACCTAATATAAAAAAAAAAAATTTCTTAAGAAAAAGAAGAAAAAGAAGAAGAAACCTCCGGCCGGTGCTCGGTGGAAAAATTAAATAAATAAAAAAATAAAATAAAAAAAAGGTGGGGGAAGGAGGAGAAAGAAGAAGAAGAAGAAGAAGAAGAAGAAGAAGAAAAAAAAGACATTGGCATAAGAAAAAAAAAATAAAAAGAAGAAGAAGAAGAAGTTGGTGATGCTGCTGTTTGCTGTTTGCTGTTTGCTGTTTGCTGTTTAGAAAGAGACCGGAACTTTAGTCGGGTCTCTTTGTACGGTATTTATATATATATATATATATATATATATATATATATATATATAAAACATAAAGTATATAATAGAAATGAATATACAATTATTATTGTTATTATTATTATGTCTCGTCCAAAAAAAAAAAAAAAAAAAAAAAAAAAAAAAAAATAGAAAGAGAGATTAAAATAAAAAAAAATAAAAAAATAAATGGCCCCGCATTTTTAATTATATTTATATATATTTAAATTTAAATTTAAATTTAAATTGAAATTGAAATTGAAATTTATATATTGATATACAAAAAAAATAAAATAAAATAAAATAGAATAAAATAAAATAAAATAGAATAAAATAATTTTTTTTTTCATCTTTAATCTTATCGGTTTGACCGGCATTTAGCAGGTGGGGTGTAACAAGAAGAAGATTTATGTATGTATGTGTGTGTGTATAGACATAAATATTGGTTGATAAACATTGTTTTTTTTTTTTTATGTCTACAACACCAAAAAAAAAAAAAACCCAACCAACGGGGTCTTTCCGGTGTATATATATTTATTATATTTTTATATTTCAGTGGAAAAAGGTTGGTTTTTTTTTTTTTTATTTTTAATAAAAAATAAACTTCTTTCCGATTATTATTATTATTATTATTATTATTATTATTATTATTATTATTATTATTATAAAATAATTAGAAAAAAAAAAAAAGGGAAAAAGCCGTGTATAGAATAGAAGTGTAAATGAATGAAAAGTTTCTCCGAAAAAAAAAAAAAAAAAAAAAAAAAAGTAAACTGAACTGAACTGAACTGAAAAAAAAAAAAAGGGCCAAGCAAAATATCACACAACACATGTGGAAATTTCATAGGCATATAAAAATATCACCGAGACTATGCCGAAAAAAAAAAGTTACAAATAAAAGGTTATTTTGAGTAAGTAAATAGTAATTATTAAATAAGTTAATGTTATTATAGGTAAGTTAATAAGTATGTTATTTATAGTAACTTAAAGGATACTCCTTGGTATGTTATGTTATTGAATAGTAACTTTATAATAACTTATTAATAATAACTTATAACATACCTATAGTAACTAATATCTTATTTTATAATAACTTGCTTTATCAGCACACTTTTCTTTTTTTTGTTTTTTTTTTTTCTTTACAACAACAAAAAAAAAACAAAATAAATAAAATAAACAGCCAGCCAGCCAGCCATCCAACCAACCAACCAACCACATCAAACTGCACTGCCTAAAAAAAAAAATAAATAAAAAAAATGGCCCTTTCCTTCAATAATAAAGGGAAAATATATATATATATATATATATATATATATATATATATAACATAATCATGTGTAAATCAAATATATTCATCAGTAATATTGCCAATATGTATATATATAAATAAATAAATATAAATAAATAAAATAAATCAATCAATTAATCAATCAATCAATAAAAAAAAAAGCAATTCAAAAACTATTTAATCAATCAATTGACAAACCAACTAAGAAGAAGAAGAAGAATAAAAAAAAGCAAATAAAATATCACCCCCTCCTGCTTCCCTTTAAACAACAACAGACCGTGCTTCTTCATTCTTAATCACAGATCCTCCTGAAACTGAATTAGAACTCCCATTGCTTCCTCCACTATGATCTGAAACCATCATAGATCCATTACCAACCGATCCATCATTACTAGCTGATGTCGAAGATCCTGTACTAATAGCCCCCCAATGTGTACTACTATTACTATTACTATTACTACCACCACCACTAGTTCCTCCCATAGAAGCCCCATAAACTCCAGATGTAGCATATCCAGTGGTTGGCGCATATCCCGTAGTAGTAGTACTAGCACCACCACTACCCATCTGTTGCTGTTGCTGTTGCTGTTGCTGATGATGATGATGATGCTGCTGCTGCTGCTGCTGCTGTCCATAATGTGATTGCAAAGCTTGATGATGATGTTGTGGTTGTTGTTGTTGTTGATGATGTTGTTGATGTTGTTGTTGATGATGATAATGATACCCGCCTTGAACCATCTCTGAATTACTACCATTCGATCCACCAGGAACCACCAATACTGGATCCCCCACAGGTGTCGTATTTACAACAATACGGAAAAAACTAGGGTCCCGCTGGAAAATCTCTCTAACTTTCTTATGGCACGCTGCCACTGTCAAATTCTTATTACGTAGACGTGATAATTCAGTCGAAATATGAACCCACTTAGTTTTTTCACCCTCCTCCAAAAGATTCTTAAGCCCTATTGTATCCTCACGATCCCATGAAATTGTCCCCCCACCTTGCTGTCCAATCAACACTTGATACCGATTCCGAGCAGCTAATGAATTTGTACACCCAGCAGCATCACTAATCTCCCCCCATGATTTCCCCTCTTTCTTCATCCGCAGAATAACAGCATCTTGTTCCGCATTATATTTACTCTTTTTCTTGGGCCGTGGTTGTGGGTCAGGTTGAAGAGCATTAGGGTTTGTGGGTTTCGCAGTGGCCAAAGGAGGCGTGGGAATCATCAAAGGAAGTGTGGCTGCTGTAGGTACTCCAGCAGATGTAGGTGTAGTTGAAGATGAAGATGGAGAAGATGTTCCTTCAAAGGACCCATGTCTGGGTAAAAACCCACTAGATCCTGTTCCATATGGTCCTGCATTTCCTGCTGCTCCTGCTGCGTAATGGGTATATGCAGAGGAAGAAGAAGAAGAAGAAGAAGAAGAAGAAGAGTTTTGTTGTTGCTGACGACCCATATATTGTAGAGCAGAGGAGGTATAAGGAGCAGCTTGAGACACTGCAGCCATAGCTGTGGAATCTTGCTGGTGACCGCCATATACATGTGCAGAAGGAGCTGGAGCTGACACAATGCCGGTACTACCAGATAATTCATCTCTTTCATCCTCTACTGTAGATACTGCTGCTGCTGCTGCTGCTGCTGCTGCTGCTGCGGCAGTTTGGTGGTCACTCATGAGCACATCTTCAATAGACCGTTTAGTACCTGTGCGCCGCCGCCGATCGTATCTTCCAGATCTTGGGGTTCCTTCGTAGACTGGGGCTGTTGCAGCAACACTAGACACGTAAGAAAATGGAGTATAAGCAGCAGAAGAGGAAGAGGGGGTAGTATTTGCAGATGAAGATGAAGATGAAGCGGTGGTAGTAGTAGTATTAGTAGTAGTATTAGTATTAGTATTAGTATTAGTAGAACCAGTTGAGCTGTTAAGCATGGAAGGTGGAGGAAGGTATTGAGATGAGGCAGAAGATGTAGAAGAAGTAGAAGAAGAGGAAGAATGGTAAGGATAAGATTGTAAGTTAGTTATTGGTGGGACTGAAGTTGTAGATGCAGAAGATGAGGAAGATGCAGAAGAAGATGTTGACATTGGGTGAAGAAGATGGTGAGGATGATGATGATTATTATGATGGTGATGGTGAAGAGATGAAGGAGCAGAAGAGCCAGTTATAGAAGCTCCAATTGTTGGTGGAGTTGTTGCAGCTGTAGTGATAGTAAGAGGGGTTGTTGTAAGAGATGAGGTAGAAGCTTCAGTTGGTGTTGAAGTTAAATGAGAAAGTGCGGATGACGAAGGTCCTCTTGTAGGGGTTGATGAGGAGACTGAAGCGGCAGCAGCAGCAGCAGCGGTAGCAGCAGCAGCGGCAGCGGCAGCGGCAGCGGCAAAATAATTTGAGTTTGGAGAGTAATCTGAAGAAGGTTGTTGATTTTCTGTAGAAGAAGATGAATTAGATGAATTAGATGAATTAGATGAATTAGATGAATTAGATGATTTAGATGATTTAGATGAGGAAGAGTTTGGAGGAGGGTTTTTAAATTCTACAGCTTGTTGAAGAGTTGTTGTTGTTGTTGTTGTTGTTGTTGCTGTTGTTGTTGATGATGAAGATGAAGATGATGAAGATGGTGTTGATTGAGAAGAAGAAGATTGAGGATATGAATATGCCGAGTCAAACATTTGATGGCGAGAAGTAGAAGTAGAAGAAGAAGAAGAAGATGATGATGATGATGATGATGATGATGATGAAGGTTGATAAAAGGAAGATGAAGAGGACATAATAGGAAGAGAATATTTTTATTTTTTTTTTAATAATAATAATAATAATAAAAAAAAAAAGTCCTCTGATGAAGGTTTTGTAAGATAGAAGGGGGGGGGATGGATGAATGGGTTTATTTTTGGGTGGTAATAATATAATAATTATTAAATAAATAAATAAATTATAATATAATAATAAAAAAATATATAAAAAAAGCCACTTCGTATTATTTTTATTAATTATTATTTTTATTTTTATTATTCAAATTTTATTATTCAAATTTTATCTTCTTCTTTTTTCCTTTTTCCTTTTTCCTTTTTCCTTTTTCTTCCTTTTCTTCTACTTGAAAGTTTTCTTTTAATTATATTAATCTTTTAAATAAATAAATAAATATAAAATTTAATAAATAAATTATAAAAAAAAAAAAAACCCCCCCTTCAACTTGGTTTGTCTGAATGGCTGCTTTTTTTGTTTTTTTTTTTTATGCTGCCTTTTTTTTATTTTTTTTTTTTTGTTTGTTTTTGTTTTTGTTTTTGTTTTTTGCTGCTGCTGCTTCTGTTGGTGCTGCTGGTGCTGCGTATTTTTTTTTTTTTTTTTTTTTATCACAAAAAAAAAAATTTTTTTTTGTTTTTTGTTTTAAAAAAAGGCCAAACTGGTGGGACCAAAATAAATAAATAAATAAATATAAAATAAATAATTAAATTAAAATTAAATAAAATTAATGTTTGATTTTATTTATTTATTTTTTTATTTATTTATTTATTTATTTTTTTATAAAAATTCCATTCCATTAATTCTAACTTTTTTTTTTTTTTTCTTTAGTTCTTAATTTATATTTTTATTTTAAATATTATAAAAAAAAAATTATTCATTATATAAAAAAAAAAAAAAAAAAAATTTAAAAAAATCTTTTCATTTAAAAATCTTTCCACGTGGAATGTCCTCGTGAACACCTGCTAGTCTTTAATCTCATGTGAAAAAAAAAAAAAATTAAAGAATTAAAGAATTAAAGAATTAAAGAATTAAAAAAAAAAAAAAAAAAAAAAAAAAAAAAAACAATCCGCTTTTTTAACCTAAAATGGTTATATATATAATACTAAAAAAAACATCCTCAAATATTCAAAAATATATTCAAAAATATTCAACTTTTTTATATTTTTTTATATTTTTTATATATATATATTTTTTTTTTTCGTTTCTTAACAAAAATATATTTTTGCAAGGTACAGGCACATGTCTTGCACTCTTTCTGGTAAAATAATATTTTTAGGCGAGAATTTTTTTTTTTTTTATGTTAAGAAAAAATGATTTTTTTTAAAAATAATAATAATAATAATAATAATAATAATAAAAAAAAAATCATATCCGATGAGATGCTCAATATAATTTTTATTATTTTCATCATCATCATTAATATTATAATTATTATTTGTTATTGTTATTTGTTTATTATACATTATTATCATTATCATTATCATTATTATTACCAGTCCCTCGCTTCAAAATCCCTCCAGTAAAGGGGTACGTGGCAACCCCAGAAACAAATGTAACTACCCCAAGTGACAACACCGCAGACCCCCACCCGTGTGAAGACGCAATTCCACCAGCTGCAAAGGGCCCGATCAACGATCCCAAAGCATATGCCACATTAAATAATCCATAAGCTTGTCCAAACCCTCTTCCAGTTCCTAAAGCTCCAGGATGTTTGGCTTCCACCTCTGTAACAGCATTAGAAAATTCACTAGTCACTGGTGCAAAAATTGTAGAAACACAAAGCCCAGCTGCAACTAATAAAATACTTAAACATGCAATCCGGCCTGCACTCTTCTCATGATCAGCAAGCCGCATCAAAATTAACGCAGGTGTAGCCAACATAAACCCTCCAAATACAATGTGCCGAGGCCCCAACCTATCACTCAACCGACCAACCACAGGCTCAAATAATGATGGCCCGGCAAATGCTATAAACAATAACCCAGCTTGTAATGAAGAAAACCCAAAAACACTTTCAACATGTAACGTTAAAATACTTTCAAAAGCTGTCATAATCCAAGCAAGAATGATACTCAGATAAAAGGCATTGGCAATACGCACATCCCCTAAAAGACCAATATACGCTGGCAATCTTATGCGCCGCTTAAACACAGTCACTCCAAAAGGTGATGGCGGCACTGTTGCTTTGCTTATAGTTTGTGGTTGGGTTTGGGTTTGGGTTTGGGTTTGGGTTTGGGTTTGGGTTTGGGTTTTGGCCTCCTCTTTCTTGGTTTCGGCATCAGGGTTAGGGCTCGCTTCAAAAGTCTCCTTTGGGCAATAGACCCGCACAAACTCTGCTAGAGCCGGAGACAAAGAAGCCTCCGTAGTACCCGCCGTCATCAATTCTTGTGCCCGTTTCGCACAAATCTCTTCCATATGAGACCTCTCCAACATAACTACCCGAAGTAAAATGTCTACCGCCAATACTCCAAAACAAACATAAAATACTGTATTATACCCGGCCCTATCATATACAACTCCTCCAACCAAGGGTCCCATAAACATTCCAAATGATAACCCAATTCCTGGGAAACTCATTAGAAATGCCATATTAGAAGAGTCTCCAATATCTGCTATAATTGCCAGTCCAACCACCCATACCACGGCCGCAGATAATCCCTGAATCACACGGCCTACCATGTATAGTGCCATTGATTTTGCGAAAAAAAGAATTAATGTTGCGCCAGTTAAAATGGCAAGCCCCAATAACATGATGAGCCGTCGGTGGGTGAGTCTGTCAGCCGCATACCCAAACACAATCGACCCGACAATAAGCCCCACCGAGTATAATGCTAGAATCTTTGAAGTATTTGTTTGTACAGATGATTCAGCAATCCCTAGGCGTGATTCTAAAACATATGGGACCACGGGGACAATGATGGAATAAACAAAAATATCTGTGAAAACTGCAAATGACATAGACCCCACAATCATGGGCGTTGACCCACGTAATAGAAGTAATGATTCATAGGAAAAAAGGGGTAGACGTGGTGGAGGTGGAGATGGAGATGGAGGCATTTCTATGGGTGTGGTGGAGATACTAGTTTCTAGATCATTTAAAACTGATTTGGACATTTGTATAAAAATGGAGAGTGGGGGGAGAGGATGGTTTGTATAGAATTTTATAAATTAATTATTAAATTATTGTTGAGAAATATAAAAGAAAAGAAAAAAAAAAAAAATTTAAAATAAAAAAAAAAAATAAAATATAGTGGCAGATGAATGTTTATTTAAAGATCTATGATGATGATAATTATGATGATAGTTATAAAGATTGGAACTTCCTGAATTGGGAAAAAGAAGATTTCTAATGGGATTTGTAGTAGAATGAAAGCAAGAAAGAAAGAAAGAAAGAAAGAAGGAAAATAAATAAATAAATAAATTCCTGAGTCATAAAGTCTAAAGAAACCCCGTTTTTTATTTTTTTTTTTTTTTTTTTTTTTTTTTTTGGTTTAGAAGGAGCACACGAAAATTGAAGATCTTTTTTTTTTTTTTTTTTTTTGCTTTTAATTCCATTTACTAAAGAAAAAAAAAAATTTTTTAAATAAATTAAAATTTAATTCTTAAAATATGCTCTATCTCAAATCTTTTTTTTTGTTTTTTTTTTTGTTTTTTTTTGTTTTCTATCTATCTATCTTGCTCTCAAATCTCTCAAATCTCTCTCTCTCTCTCATTTTTTTTTTCTTCTTCTATAAGTTCACCGAGAGCGAGAAATTATATTTAAAGTTTTTTTTTTTTAAAAAAAATAAAGTCAAATTAAGGAAAAAAAGAGAGAGAATAAAAAAAAAAAAAAAAAAAAATGTGAACGGCTCAACTCAATTCTGGGCATCGCGGAAAGTATCACCGACCTTAATCAACTATATAGTTATTTGACTTTATTTATATATATATATATATATATACCGAATATAAAAAATAAAATTAAATTGCCCTTTACTGTAATAAATCCGTTTAAAAAAAAATAATAAAATTGTCTTATAAAAACCGTTAGTTATTATATTATTAATATATATATATATATATATATATATATAAACGTCTTTAAAATAAATGTAATATGAAGAAAAATATTTCTAAAAAAAAAAAAAAATATACAAAATATTTGAAATTTTTTTCTTAATTAAAGAATCTAATTAATGTCTATTTCTTTACTTATTACTTTTAAAGCCACATTATTATTATTATTATTATATTTTAACTAACACCTTGCCAATTGTGCCCTAACAAAATGTAATCCTTATTAAGCATTTCACAAACTCTTAATAACGATTTCCTCTTCATTTTCAACACGTTAATAACCAAAACACAAACTCTTATTAAGCATTTGCACAACCCTTCATTAAAAATGTCCTAAATGCATGATTCTTATTTTTCAAAAAATATTTTACAAATACTACAACACTTTATTGACAATACTATATCATTTTATTGACAATCGTAAGGGCTAATATTAGAATGAAAGTGGTTTAAAAAATTTTATAACGATGGAACTTTGGGGTACAAATTTGTATATATATAAGTACTAATTAACTACCATTTTATCATTAAAAGTATGGTTGTGGCTGACTAATTTTAAAAAAATTAAGATTTATAAATTAAGGGCTTGTGTTTTCCTTAATAACGTGTTATGAAATGGTTAATAAGAAAAGTCGATTTTGGGGTTTCAAGTAAATTTTTTGTTTTTGTCAATTTTGTATGGTAAAAAATATTTTTGTTAGGGCACAATTGGCAAGGTGTAAGCTCACTTTTAACCTTTTAGATAAAAAAAAATTAAAATAAAATAAAATAAAATAAAATAAACATATTTGTTTGTATATATATAATTTTTTAATTTTTTTTTTTTTTAATAGGTACCAATTTTATTATCATTATTATTATACAAGCTAAATTAATATTGTATATATATATAATGACATTAAAAATAAAAAGAAAAAGAAAAATTTTTTTTTTTTTTTCCCCCTTAAACCCAAGTTGTTCTTTAAAACAATAAATTTTTTTTTTTATTTTTATTTTTTTTTTAAATTTGAATTTGAATTCCCCGAGTAAATAAAAAAATTATAATTTACATGGACTTTTTTTTTTTTATTAATTTTTTTTTTTCTTCTCAGTGCCTTTTTAATAGAATTTCCCTTTTTAAAATAAAAAAAAAAATTTCATCATAATAATATGATGATGACTGATTAATTTCACTTGAGTTAATCTAAGCAAGAACTCTAGACCATTTAGTTTTTATTTAGTTTTTTTTTTTATTTTTTATTTTTTTATTTTTTTATTTTTTTATTTTTTTATTTTTTTATTTTTTTATTTTTCTTAAACCTGAGCAAGATTCTTCATCACATGTCAGGATATTCAAAATGCCTTTTTTTTTTTTTTTTTTTTTTTTTTTTTTTTTTTTTGACCTTTTGATGTTTTGATGTGTTTTTGTAATCAATTGGAGTATTTTAAACTTGTAGACATAAATATAAACATAAATCTGTAATTTATAAATTATTTTTCATATCATTTGAATTTATCAGATTTTTTATTTTATTTTTTATTTTTTATTTTTTTTTTTTCTGTAACTAATTGCAACTAATTGCAACCTCTTTCAAAAAATCTCACACTATTTGACCTTTTCCTATTTAAATAAATAACCCTCCCATTCCCATCACATTGGAATGTATGTATATATACATGATACATGATCATCCATCTAAGCTCTAAGCGCTAATTAAACTACTTTATAAACTCGGCAATTGCTCTTATCGAGATAATAAAGTGATCAACTCTTTTAAACATCCCTATCTTGTTTTACTTTTACTTTTATTTTCATTTACTTGTTTTTTTTTTTTTTCCCCCTCTTCCATAACCTCTGTTTCTTTCCTTAATTTTTTCCCGCCTTAAATTAGCAATTTTTTTTTTCTCACAAAAATAATAATAATAATAATAATATCATGAGCTGATCAACTTGTAACATAAACAAACTTTGACCCACTTTCATTTTATCCTTTACGACGGAAAATGTGAGAATTATAACAAAAAAAAATTAAAAAAAAATAAAAAAAATAAAAAAAAATCGGATAAAACAGAATTACTTACTATACTCTATAGGCGCCTTGTAAAATCCAAAATACGCCAGAGGGTGTTTGTTTACTTTAAAAAAAATATATATATATATATTCACGTGATTTTGTATTTTAATAAAATCAAGTTACCCTGATCTTCTTCTGCATAATAAAATATATATTATATAACCTAAGGTTTCAGATACAACCCAAAATATATATTTAAAAATCAATTCCTTTTAAAAAAAAAAAAAAAAAAAAAAAATTTAAATATTCATCTCTTCCTATTAATTCTTTTCTTCTTCTTCTTCTTCTTCTTCTTCTCTCATCATTATTCCTTAGACTTTAATTTGTTTTCTCTAATCACCTTTTTGGTTACTCAACGTCTTTACTAGTACCCATGTTTATGAGAAACCCTCCCGTATATACACGCACCGCGTGAAACTACCCGACCTGGAGATCAAAAAGCAAAACCCTAAAAAAAAACACCAAACCTTCTCGCTCTCCGGCCTTTGAAATTTCTGCAACTTGTTTTATTTGCTCAATAAAAAAAAAAAAACAAAAAACAAAAAACAAAAAATTTCTTCGTCGCTCATGCCCACCAATTTTTTCTTTTTTTGTTTCCCACTTTTTGGCGCGCACATGCAACAAAAATTAAAAGCAATTGCTCTCAATCTCCCCTCATAACCATGGAGATTGCCGACTAAACTACACATTGAAAGCAAAGATAGAATAAAAAAAAAAAGAACTATCTAGTTATCTTCATGAACAATTCCATACACGTGGAAATAAACTGGAAAACATCCGATGACAATTGACTCTATGGAGTCAAGTTTTCTCTATTTCTCTATTTTTTTTTTTTTTGATAACGCTTTATCTATAATCGATAACTGAACCGTTTTTTTTATCTTGGATAATAGTCTCTTATTTGATAATAGTCTCTTATTTGATAATAGTCTCTTATTTGATAATAGTCTCTTATTTGATAATAGTCTCTTATTTGATAATTGTTCTATATTCAATACCCTTGCTACAATCAATCCCCATCTGAGCTTAATTAACTTCAAACATCAGTTTCCATGCCATGGTTATCAACGGTTTGATTACATTAGAAACAAGCGGTAAAATATACATTCTATCTCTTTTTTTTTTTTTTTTTTTTTTTTTTTTTTTTTTTATTCTTCGATTCATCAACGGTTTTACCTAATATATATATATATATATATATATATATATATATATATGCTTTTTTTTTGATTGTATTTCCTCAATTATTGCTTTCAACAATAGTTACTGATATTGACAATAAACTCGCCAAATTATTTTACACTACCTTTATTCTCTCTAAGCGCATCAAGCTCCCATTCTCAGACAAGTCTGTATTGATATCAACCACAAACCCTTCACATCAAGTTTAATTAACATATTTGAGCTCATCTTATCTGTTCGACAATGTTTTGTTCAATCATTAGGTTTGTTCCTAATCTTTTACACTGGATCGTTGGTGTGGTGGTTCTATCAAAATTATGGGTTTGATAGTTTCTTAGTTTTTTTTTTTTTAACATTAAAATACTTCCATGTCTGTATGGAACCGGGGTTTCAAGCTCAATATTATTATCTTTACTAAAAATTAACTCAAACTTATCTTTTTCGCCCCCAACTTTTTATCTATCAGCACTCAAAACCAACGGTAATCACTTTGATTCTACATGTCTAAACAATTTATCCTAGTATTAAATTAAGCTCTAACAAAACCACTAATGCAATGTTGTTTTGGACTTACATTCGGGTAAAATTCAAAGAAATGGGCTTAAAATTACCAATTGATTTCAACTAGGAATGATACAGAACCATGGCTCTACACAACTATTATTTACTTAATGCAGGAAGGTTTGTGGAATAGAGAACTCCCAGTTATGCATTATGATAATTTTTTTTTATACACCTCATGACCTCGGCAGCTGCGTCTCCACA